TTGATATGTATGTTGCAACTTGCAAAGTGTTTGAGTATCTTAGTGATAATTCTCCAAATACAAGATCTCGGTCCGAAGTTGATGGTGTATACAAAACCATGACAACATTTACATTTGTATTTATCTTGCATTTAATGCGTAGAATATTGACAATTTCGAATGTACTTTGTCTGGCCCTTCAAAGGAAAACTCAAGATATCTTAACTCCTGTAAGATTCGTCCATACTACAAAAAGTATCATTCAAGCATTGAGAGAAGATGGCTAGGAAGAATTTTTTCAAGAGGTGAAATTTTTTTACTCAAAAAATAATATACAGATACCTGCCTTTGATGGTTCGTACATGGTTGGTCATTCTTGTGGTCGTGAGTATCCTACCATTGAATATCATTACCACTTTGATATCTTCAATACATGCATAGATTTTCAGTAATGGAGTTAGATACAAGATTTAATGAGATATCATTAGAACTCCTTTCTCTCAGTACAACTTTGGATCCAAAAAATTCTTTTGAATCATTTAACAAGGATAATATATTTGCAAGTTTGCAGAGATGTTTTATCTTGAAAATTTTACGCAGCAAGATATTTATTGTTTGAAAATTGAGTTGCAAAATTATCAGAATGATGTGATTTCTGAGCCTCGATTTCAAGAGCCTACACTTTCTGATTTATGTTGGGAATTGTTTGCATTTATAATGTCGAAGAGTTACGTCATTTTGACTAAGTTGATTTGTTTAGTATTTACACAACCGATTTTAATGACTATGGAGCGAGCATTTTCAACAATGAAACATGTGAAGATGGAAATTCGTAACAAAATAAATTATAGTTTTCTTGCCGATTGTTTAACACTAAACATTGAACGAGAATTTAGTATGAATTTGAATCTAGATTCTATTATAGATGATTTTTATGCTATAAAATATCGTCGGATACAACTGTAATAGGTAACACTATATTACAATTTTTCTTGTTATATATAAATTTTATTTGTATATTAAATTTTAAAAAATTTTGCCCCACGTACCATTCATTCTTGGCTCCGTCTCTGCACACATGTCAACCCCTCTAGTCATACATCTCCATTTTGTAGGAAAAAATCAATTGAGAAAATGTTTTTATATATTTTACAACATTTTTTGCATTTAAAAAATTGTAAGACCAAAAAAATTTGTTTGTGAAATGATGCTGATATTAGTTGGCAAGTATTATTAGTTTTGGATAACGCAACTTTTCACGCAGTTTCTTCTACACTTCTCTTCTTGGGATGAAAAGAATTGTAGGATAGAAGATCATTAGATCATCTTCAAGGATTCTATTTTTAAATAACATATTATATCATTTAGAAATCATCTATAAATTTATAGAGTTAAGATTTTGAAATACTCCAACAAACTCTTTATATTTAACACTTAATTTCACTACTCTAAAAAAATATTTATTATTTTTCTTTATCTTTCATTTTAACTAGCTCTTCATTTAATTATTTTATTTCTCTCCTACATTGAAAATCGAAACACTTTGAATGCATTTAATTATAAAGAGTGAGTTTGGCTCTCCAACCCACTCTTTAAATTAAAGTCTCGGAAGCATGATTTTAAAGGTTGACTTTTTAAATAAAGAGTATCTAAAAATAAAAAAGTTAAACCCGCCCCGGCATACCATCCCCACAGTCCCGATTAGCGTAGATGCCTCATTCAGGAGGGATATCTATGGGGCTCAAGTTTTACCTGGTAAATTGCCATCCTTCTAAGTATATCAAGTTTTAAGTGTTAACATCATGAATATCTTTATTGTAAGATGATGGTATCTTTAAATTTGAACTAACATTCCATCCTTTATAAAATGATTTTTGAAAGCATGTTTGAGAAATATTTATAAAAGATTTAAATTAAAATTGAATTGAATAGCGGGTAAGTGAATAATATTTATGGTTATCTCAGAACGTGTAAATAAAAAAATGTCTTGAGAATTGTAAAAGCATAATCGATAATGCATGCATAAGCTTAGAGAAATATAGTTGTTCGTGAAAATTCTTTAAAAGAAAAAACTATTTTTTTCCTTTTCTCACTTGGCTTTTCTAGTTAAATTTTCTCATACAATGTTTAAAAAAGTATGTCTCGAATAAATAGGTACTTTCGACATTTCAATGATATTCGAATCAGATCGAACAAACATCAACCGTGATATGATATCTTGATTTATATGAAAAGAATTAGGAAAATTCTACTTGTACAACTGACCTTTCGCATTTGTGCGGGGTCCGCATGTTTAAAAAAATTCAAAAAAAAAGAAAAAGAAAAGTGAACCCCTCATGTGAGTGGTGGTCAATCGAGGTTGTCAACCTCGATTGTACAACTAGCATGGCTCAAAGAATTAATTCACACAATTCCAGAATTAATCGATTCACCTTAAAAAATTTTGTACTTATTATTTGTTACTTTTTATTTAGGATTCGAACTCTTGTTAGGATTGTTTGAGCCCCATTTTTGGGTAAAATTTTTTTTTTAACTACATTCTCCAATAAAATGATATTATATATCAATTCAAAATTTTTTCTTAATTTTTAAGCACTAAAAATGGGGTCGGCAAACTCTTCACGTGCTAAATGTTTGAATTTAAAAATAAAATAAAAATAAAAAATTGCTTTACTCGTGTTGTCGGTCAAAACTTCAAGGTTCCCTCCTGTGCAAGACAACCAATTAAAGCCCTAAACATATAAAAATCCCCGAATTTCATTCCACCTGCTCAAGGAAAATCAAAGATCGAAGGTTTTGATTCGAAGGATAAACTAGATCGAAAAACGAAACAATGGCAACAATTGAGATTGAATTGAAGCTGAGGCTCGAAGAATTACAAAAACAGCTTGCGAAGAAACAATTGTTTGAGGGATCGATTTCCACCATTAGATCTCTCCTTCAACAACACTATTCCTCTGCTTCACCTTCTCTTCAACAATTGGTATTGTTTTTCCTGACCCATCGGTTTTATTTATTTTTCCTTTGTTTCATTAATTTATCTGTTTTAAAATTGGGTTGGATAATTGATTGAAATGTTATGAGTCTTTACTTTGTATTAATGGAAATTATTCATGGAGTTGAATTGGTTGGATCTATTTGAGGAAATTTGAATTGATGGACTAATGTTTGAATGAAATGAATTGTCCACGCATCTTATTTAACTATTTCGGCTACTTGTTGAATTGGAGAATTATGATGTGAATCCTACGAAGAATCAATTTGCTTTCTTTTTTTGATACATACAATCAAATTGCTTTCAAGAAAAAGACACAAAATAGATTCACATGTTGAATATTTGAAAACCTCATTTTCTTTGATGTGCAAAATTAACACATTGTTGATTGATTAATTTATTTATTTTTTTAAATCCAAGTTTTATAATTTTTATTCACCATGGAAGAGAGATTATTTCTAATCTACTTATCTACATATGATATTTTAGTAATTTAGAAATAAAGAAACCTTTTTTTTTTTGGCGAAGACATGCTAAAAGAGGTGGAGATAGATCAAAATTAACATGGTTGAACTGAAAGTTTAAATTCATTGGACTTTGAATAGAATTGCTCTCATCGAATGGAGTATAAAAAACATAACTATCAATGTGCCAACATCAAGTCTATATGGAGTAAAATTTGGCTTCTTCTACTTGTTCTATCGTATGGGAACAGAATATCTAATGATTTAACAGACTGGTTCCCTCCATGAAGTTGTATACATGTTGCAGGAAGAAACACATTTTTAAAAAGAATTATCTGCATGTTTGCAGTTCTATTCAGTTATATGTCGAGTTGCAACTATTTTAAAGGCGAGGTACACTTCTCCGGGATTCTGGAATGCTGGGCTAACACTTTTCCAGGAGGCTGAGCGGTTGGTCTCTAATGCTTCTGAGCGAAAACACTTACAAAGTTGCATGACTCAAGCCCAGGAGCAGTTGGCTGAAGTACAAAATCTTTCGGAAGATGTGAGGCCCTCACAAAATCGGAGAGGTGAATGAATACGTTAGCTATGTATCTACTGCTTAATTACTTTTTTAGAATGGAATTAACAAATATATCACAATTCAGGATACCTATTTGAAGGGCATCTTACTTTAGATCCTGAGCCTCCGCAGCCTGATTGGTTAGTGCAAGAAAACTTGCTAACAGCTACCGCTACCTTATTACATGGAGAATCTTCTGGAGGTGAAGCTGGTAGTGGCAACACTTTAGAAGGTGCTGCCGCCCTAATTGAGGAGATGGTCAATAGACTTAATGATATTGTGCCAGAGGTAACTTTCTATCTTTTTTTCTACCCTGACATGGTTGTATAATTTTCCTCTTCGAAGGCCTTGTAAAATGTCTTCTACAAAAATATATACTAGTGTTAGCAGTACTTGTGCAATAAAGAAACTTGTTTCTTTTACTGTCATTTTTTGTGCCCTGATGATTTAGCCTCACATGTTTGTTTTCTGTTCATAGAAGTATCATCAGACTTTACAATATAGCGCTAGAAGTAATTTCCTGTGTCTTTTTTACTTCCCTGATATAGTTATATGATTTTCATACTTCCGCTGTCTCTAAAATGTCTTTTACCATATTACTATCGTTTACAATTTGATCCAAGGTTTACTGGATTTACTGAGGCTTATAGCTCAAGGCTAAGCCTAAGGGTGACTAAGCTGTGCGTTTGTTAATCTTTCCTTTTAAATGCTGTTGATTACTGCCCTTAGCTTTTTACAGTTTTTTTTTAAAAACACAATTGAAGCCTAAAATCTAGAAAAAGAGAATTAGACACGAGAGAAGAGAGAAAGAAGCAAGCGTCCCAGCCTCCTACTGCTAGGGCGTGATAAACCCTCTCCTAAGTGACGTTACAACTTTTTAGTTGCAGATGGCTAGTTACAATAAACATACAAAACATAACTTAGTAGTTAGTGCATGATTGGCAAAGCTTAAATTAAAAAATACTTTTTATAGGACCTACAAATTACTACTCACTTATTATCCACACATTTTGTAGGATCTACTACTTATAAGCATTTAAAAATAATTTAAGCTTTTCCAATCATGCCCTTAATTATTTTCTTTCTCCTATACTTTTCTTCTGGCTGTCCTTCTGTTTCTTTTCCTTTCTTCTGCCTTTATATGGAAGGGAAGTGGAATGAAATGAACGATTGCAAGTGTTGGATAAGGGTTCAAAATGGGAAGAAAATGAGAGTAATGTGAAGGATGGTATGAGAATCAAATATGCTTATAATTTTAATATCCTATTCGTAGTGATGATGTGGGAGACCTGTAGGCTGTTTAGCTGTAGTAATCGATTACAATTTTGTTATGCGATACAAATTTGTTATTTGCTACTTTATGGATCTTTTTTTATGTTTTTTGAATGTTTAATAATGGATTTCCAAGACAGTTTGTGGTTTATAATGAGTTTATTTTTGTATTATTATATAGCTTGGCTTTGCTTCACCAAATGCCTGTGTTTCCCGATTGAGTGGTCTATACATTGATTCATACTAATGTTAACAGTATTTTATGAGAATAAAGAAACTTGTTCTTTTTACTGTCATTTTTTCATGCCCATATGACATTAGCCTCGCATGTTTTCAATTATAGTGGTATTTTGAGCAGGATAGGACAATTGGAATCATTTTTCTTTCATTTTCAATTGACTTCATTTTTCTCTTTTCTATTGTGTATGGCTGCTTACATTCTCAAAGATGTGCGTGGGCATGCACTTATGCACTGGTGTTTCAGTAGGATACAACCAGTCAACTTTAGTTTACTCATGAAGACGTACCTTTTTTTGCCTAATTCAGTCATGTCATAGTTTGATATGAATCTTACTTCATTGTTGATTGGTTCAAGATTCTTGATACTGATGCTGGACTCCCTCGAGTACCACCTGCGAGTAAAGAAGTGGTGGCTAAGCTTCCAGTTACTACTGTTACAGACGAAGTGTTGGTGAAGCTGGGGGAAGATGCCGTTTGTTCCATTTGCCAGGAGAATTTGGTTGTAAACGATAAGATGCAAGAGTTACCTTGCAAGCACGTGTTTCATCCTCCTTGCCTTAAGCCATGGCTGGTAAAAGATTTTAACTTGTTCATAATAAATTCCACTATTTGCTGCACACAGATGTTAACTTGGATAGTTCTTTTTCTTAACTGAACAGGATGTACACAATTCTTGTCCAATTTGTCGGCACGAACTGCAAACTGATGATCATGCCTATGAAAGTTGGAAGGAGAGGGAGAAAGAGGCTGAGGAAGAGAGAAAAGGGGCAGCAAATGCCGTTCGTGGTGGTGAATACATGTATGTGTAATTGGTAAATGCTTATTTTGCTGCAGTCGTCTATATGGACTCGCTTCTTTCCTTATTTCTCATTATGGTTGGAATTAGATCCTTACTATTTTCATGCTTGACGGATAGAGTGCTTACACTTGACATTTCTCTGCAATTAGTAGGGAATGTATTTGCACGATGGTGGCTATAAAACTCATCCTTCAATTTAATGGGTCAATGAACCTCATGTTGTCACAATCAAGTTACTTAGCCTAGGTTTGGTATGAATTAAAATTTTGATAAAAATTCAAGTTAAAGTAAACAATTAATTTTAATTATAAATTTTATGGAATGTGTGTGTGTGTGTGTGTGTGTGTATATATATACACGCGCAGTGTATCTATGTTGACTTGTCAATGCAAAATGACTTGGTTTTTTATGGCATAAATATATTTGATTTGGACACAAATCATGCAGTTTAATTGTACTAGAAGATAAAAATTATGAGTTGCTTGATTCCTTGAACTTGCACGCTTTGTGTTATACAAAGATATAAATTGGGTTGTGCTATTATTTAAGGCATTTGGATGAATACCTAAAAGGGTCAGTGGAGGAGTAAATCCTTTTCGAAGTGCCTAATACATCTATTCTATATTTAGCCCTAGTTTGGTTTGATTAAAAATTAAATTTTTAATAGATCTTCATCAAATATGTGATTGAAAGTTGATGAAATATGTGGATTTTATAAAATGTGTGATTAAAAACGAGTTCTAAAAAATTGTAGCCAAAAAGAGACTTAACGTATGCTTTTGCTTGTATTTTTTTGGTTTTTATTTTGTCGAGACGTTTTGATTTTAGATTTTATACGAGAGATCTAAGATCATGCTTTTTAAAAGTGAAATGTTCTATATTTTAAAGAGTCTATTTTTAAAATTATGTTCAAAAGAGATTTTTCAAATTAATATTTAAAAATAGAGAGTAAGTTTGTATTTCCAAATTTAAAGAGTCAAATCACCCTCTATAATTAAATTCATTCAAAAATTTCAATATTCAATGTTTCATATATTGGCAATTAAATAGTATATACAAAAAAATAGAGAAAAATAAATAAAAGATGGAGAAAATAATAAATATATACTGAGAGTAGTAGAATTAAATATAAAGAGAAGTTTATAAACTAGAAAAATCTTCATTTTTGAAAGTCGGTGGTGTTCTTCGACTTCATGGTCATGGTTGGGGTGCAACTAATGGTTGCATGGCCAAGCTTGGGATTGCTGTCCAACCCCTATTGTTGGCCACCAAAAAAGTGGTGGCGTGTGAAGTTGGGAAAATTGATATGACATTCATTGATGACAATTTGACAACGACGGCAAGAAAATGGGAGAAAATGTGAAAAATACTACAAATCAGTGTAGAAATACTCTTAAAAGAAGAGCTTTTCCATTGGAAGAGCTTGCAAGAAGGGGTTGACAACATCTCACAGTTGTGTGTCTCATTGTGATTAAAAAATAAAAAAAATTATCAACCCACCCACCTCGTGTGTGTATAAATCAAACCACCCCCCTCTTCTATCTGTACATGTAGCACTGCTCATGGCGAGGTAAGGAGGAAATATATTTAAAATTTTGGTTGTTTAATTTAAGGAATTTTTGTGTGTAGTCCCTCATAATTCGTAATTAATGTGAATTAAAAAAAACTAATTTTTTTATTCCAATAAATTTCTGTTTACTTTGCATGGTGGTCAGTAATTTTCAGAATTCTATTTATAACTAGGTAGAGGACCTAATTTTAACTCCCTTTTCAAAATATATTGGATCGCACGGAGGTATTGAGATGCTGGGTTGCCCAAATTCATAACTTAGGCTAAAACCCAAAACTTCAAATTCCTTTTGTCCAATAAAAAAAAAAAAGAGGGAAATAATACTAAAATTGAGAAAATTATAATATGTTACACTTTGTTTATGTAGGAGTTCTTTTGTTAATTGCACTAATAGAAAGGTGAAATTTGTCATTACGAATTGACCCAACTAAAAATTCAATACAATTTTACAACATCGCGACTCGACTAAGTCAAATAAAGGTATTGATTCCTAGTTACTATCCAAAAAATAAAAAACTTTTCTCTTATATCAAATCAAGATGAGTTACTTAAGTTGAGTAATAGAAGTATGATTTTCTTATGCCGTTTAACTCCCACTCGAGTGAAGGCAACAAGGGTCGATTATTAAGTTACATGAACATGAAGACATTGATAAGAAGTTTCTTTGAAAATTTCAACTATACTTTATTATTAAGCCCGTGGGCACGTGGGATTGTAGAACATTTTTTTGTGTGAATATATGGTTGAAAATAATAGTCATCAAACAGATGCTTAATCTTCACAAGGGCTAAATTTAGAGATAATTCAACTTGAGTAGTTGCATGCACTTAATTTGTACATGTGCCCAACCACACATATTTATACCTCAACTACATATTTATAAGCCTTTGACTAAATATTAGATTATTGCTACAAACAAATGGTGTATCTTGTATACGAACATTCAACATGCTTCTCTTTTTTTAATCATATTCATCAATAATGTTCGATCAATCATTTTGAACATGATCTCTGATCATGTACAGTTTACATAACAATAGTAGATGTGACACGAGTAAAATTATAATTACTTGTCACTATAACGCAAATAGAAAGGTTGTACTCGACTTGTATTAGTGTGCATCTTTAGCTTGAAGCATGACCTCGTATAGGCCACAGTATAGTAATGCTAATAATAAAAACAACTTAGGACATAGATTTTCTTATGTCTGAAAATTACTTAAAATTTGGCGTAGGCAAGACATCACTTGGTCTAGATAGCCTGCTGGGGGTACCTGTCAAGGCAATCGAGCCATGGATTCCTGGACGGCTTCCTGATGCGACGCATTGATCGCCAAACAACGCTGTTGCATTTAAAACCTGACCCAAACGCCAGTTGCCAGACACGGTCCCCTCGTTTGACTCTCTCCTTCGCCTCGAGATAGGCCAGTTCGTACCAAATGCTACTGCTGGACGTGTTGCCAAAACGGTGCAATGTAGAACGGGATGCTTCAAGATTCTTTTCGCTCAGTTCCAGATTCCTCTGCAGCTCATTGAGCACTGTTTTGCTTGCGGCGTGCACACAGAAATGCTCGAATGCTAGTTTGTAATCGGGAATGTATGGCTTCGTTGGCTGGGAATGCGCGCCATTGCCGAATAAGAGCCTCCATACAAGTGTGGAGAAGAATAGGAGTTGCTCTGAAATGGGCAAGACAAGGGGTCCTAATGTTGTGATGTTAGTCTTGAGTGCTTCACCACCAATTTCTACCAAATCTTTGCTGACCTTTAATCCCTTGAACCTCTCACTATCTTCTTCTTGATGGATGCACCTGATAAATTATATACAGTCAACTGTATGTCGACTTGAAAATAAGAATCATGTAAATAGGACATTAAGTGTATGTCGACTTCTTGTCACAGCTATCATGCTCAAGACTTGATTTGATGTTCAGCTCTACGAAAAACACACACAAAATCCCAAAAAAATTTCTTGATTTGATGTCAAGATAAGGATTTTTTTTTTAATATTGTAAATTGTAATATAAATTTGCTAATCATAAAATAAAAAATGCTGTGAGTACAGATTTTTTCTACTGAATTTTCACCAAAAATTTGAATTTTACTCATATGGGGGTGGACCCCATGTGATTAAAAAATTGATTTTTTTACCAACCCACCCTCTTATTGTTTCTATCTTATATGGGTACAAGAATTTGAATTCCTATACCCTTGGTAGGACTCTCATAAAAAATCAACCTAAATCTTAATATTTGCTGGACTCGACCTGAATACAATCCGGGATGAAATATTAAGACCCTGTTTGGGAGAAATTTTAATCAAGATTTTAATCAAAATTATAGCCGTTAACTATCAAATCAACCACCATTTTTTACTTTCCCTCTCACAGATGGGGCCCACGGGTTGACGATAACGACTATAATTTTGATTAAAATCCCACAAAAATTGCTCCCAAACACGCTCTAAAATTTGATCTAAAAATTTAATTGTGTCCCTAGCAATTGAATTTTAAACTTTTTGCAGCTGTCAACAATAACCTTAATTAGAGGGCAACTTAATTTGGACGTCATACAATCGAACATTAATTGGCTTATAATTAATATCATCTTTGTACAAAAACTTACACTAGCATTAATATTGTTAGACATTCCCAGTAAAAAGAAATTGATAGAGATGCGATGAGAACCGATGAGAGTACTAGAAATTTTTTCGAGTAGAAGGCTTATAGGTTATCCAAATTTCCTTAGAGGCGTCCTGTTTCTTGAAAAGTACAAATTATCAATTCAGGCAAGCACCACAAACCAGTCAGCTATCATTTCAAAAATTAATTAATACTAAACAGAAATATAGAAAGAAGAAATTCCATACCTGAAGCTACGATCATCAGCACCTTTATGTGTCCTGACAATATGTTCAAGCCTGTACTTAGCAAAAGGGTAGTCACGGCGGCGATTGGAGAGGAGCACGGCGGAGCAGCCCATCCGGAAGTAACAATTTGGAATAAGCATTGATCGTTCTTTTCCAGGGTACCAATTGTACCCCACCATTTCAGTACTTACCACCACCGCATAATTATTAGGGTTTGATTGCAGCATGTCACTAGCCAAGTCCAATGCAATAATTCCAGCACTGCATCCCATGCCACCTAAGTTGAAACTCAAAATGTTTCCTCTCATCTTGTAGTGATTTATGATCATAGCCGATAGAGAAGGCGTCGGGTTAAATATGCTGCAGTTGACGACGAGAATCCCAACATCCTTTGGACGAATGCGTGTGCTTTCAAAAAGCTCGTCTAGGGCTCCGAATATCACCATTGATGCTTCAGCTCGACCTTCTTTCATTGTAGCAATATTTTCCGGGTAACTTATTGATCTTGGGACGTAGGTTTCGTCTCCAATACCAGAGGACTCTAAGATTTTCTTCTGGAATTCGAGACTCGCATCGTTGAATTTTCCTGATTTTCTCCCTAGCTCGATGAATTGCTCCTTTGTCACCTACATAAGCATGGAAACATTGATAATTTCTTTTACCTTTTATTAGTCTAATGTTAGGTTTCAATGAAATGGAAAAAGAAAACGTGACACAACGCTTGAAATTGATATAACTTGATGATGTCGGACACTTGGACTCGTAACATCAAGTGTGCATTTTATAAAACAGAAGTTGCTATAATAATATAATGACTAATATTAGAAAAGCTAATTGACATCAATTAAATTTTAGAAAATGATACAAGCTGTCCAAAAAACCTAGAATCTTTTTTTTTTTTTTAATGTTTTCCGTATGAGATCTAAAAATAACTATTATCGAAAAATAAAAACCTAAAAAATGTCTAAATCTCCGAAACATTTTCTAGTTTTCTTAATATGTTCGATTTTCAGAACTATCTGAAACAGAAACACGGGGCGTGGTTCTGGAGTTGTCAAAAAGAAATCACAAAATGGTGAGATATCATTTACCTTGAAATCATCACTGGGTTTGTAACATGCAAAGTCGAGAAGGTAAATGGATCTAGGCCGAGACATGAAATATGCAGAGAGAGTAAACACAAAGACGCCAAGAAATGCCAGCTCGGTGGCAAGATCATAGCGTGCAGTGCTGTCCCAAATAAACCCCCACAGCTCTGCCCTGCTGAGGCTGCCTACCTCTGCGCTGAAAACCAGCACCAGAAGTGGTATGGTGGCCAAATAAATCCCATGATTTATCAGATAGTGGTAACCCAGTTTCACATACTTGAGGTTAACGGACTGCACAAAGTCTGGCAGGCGACGACGAACCCTGACGGAGAATGTTAAGGATCCGGCATCAGGGCCAGAAGATTCAATGCCCCTGTTAACAATCTCCGTAGACAAGAGATGTTGTTCTCCGGCCATGTTAAAATAGCATAAAAGGGAGCTCGAGACTCACTAGTCGGCTTAACTGATGTGTGAAATTGATGGGTTTGATCAATATTGGGATGAATGTGGATATATATTGCGAATTCAAGTTAGTTGGTAGGTGAGGAGATTAAATGCAGGCATCAAAGGTGGGTTGTGCAGTTGGGTGCTTTGAGCAGCCATAAATTCTGGCATTTATGAAAAGCAGTTGGAATTCAAAGTCAGTAGGCATTGGCTTCCATATTTTTGCTTATGAAAATTTTCTTCTTCTATGGAATTTGATCGACATATTTTAATGTTCTAGGGTATGCTCTTAGCTGTTCCCAGCTCAATTTTTTTTTTTTCATCCTGTTGCAAATCCAGGCGGTATTGGAGACAGCAACGGACGTATAAGTTTAAAGTTAAGGAGACACAATTGAACAACCAAAAAGGTTGGAAGAAATTTTACAATTGAAATTTTACACCCAAAAAATCATACCCCATATAATTTTGCATTCGAATATTTACATGGGATATGAATTTTTCGGATGTAAAATTTCGAAATTTTTTGATGTTATATTCCACATAAAATTTCCTAATAAAATGATGAAAATTATATTGAGAAATTTGTATCGCAAAAAGAATAAATATTAATGAAATAATCGATTTTTTAAAAAAAAATGCGAGTTGGATGTCTTCTTTGATATTCACGTTTAACGTATTTTTAATTATTTTCGATATCCGTTTGGACTATTCGATATGCTCATAATGTAGGTCTCGAAATAAGTTTTGAGATGACATAAGCAATTTGTAGATTCGATTATCGTACGATCGTCAGAGAATTTTTAAAATTAACATGTTATCGAAATTCAAATTTATTATGATTTTGCCCCTATTTGGTTGAGGTTAAAATCAAATTTTTAGTAAATTTTGATAAATGTTAAATAGTTATGGATTCCATGAAATATGTTATTAAAATTAATTGTTAACTTTGATTTAGATTATAATTTAGATTTCAATCGATATCAAACATGACTTTATAAAAAAAAAAATTCAAAAGTTGGGGGGTCACGTGCCCCCCAAGAACATCCCCACCGGGTCCGCCCTGGAGAGGCGAGTAATGACAAGCTTGATTCTCAAGATGTTCATTGAATGCCATTTTGCGGTTGTTAATATGTTGGCTTATATTTATAGCTAAATACAAATGCCAAAGCCACTTTTTATTCACCTATTTCGAAGATCCACAAATATTACATATTTAAACATCACTTGTTATTATGGATTTATAATATGAATCATTTATAAACACTTCTCTAACATATAATTAATGAATTGCGTTGTCCCTATTGATAGCTCACACTAGGTGAGCCTAACCGATATATGGTTTTTTTGGTATGACTTTTGAAAAGTCAAAATGAACTTTTGAAATACAAAACTGCTTTTGGATTCGTTGGACTAATTCCATGAATGTGCTTCTTTTAGTTAAAAAAGTTTTTAAGGAAAATAGTTCAATGTGATTTCCTCTAAAAGCATTTTTGAAGTAGAAGGTTCTTTTAAAAATTAATTTTCAAACAAAAATTAAGATAACTTCTTTAAAAAACTCTTCCACCAGAAGTAAAAGCAAAAATAAAAGTAATGCCAAACAGATGCTCACACTTCTATACAATGACATTGGAAATCAATTTGACGTTGTCCAAATTGATAGGCGTATCCTGTATGCCATTATAAATGAATAACATAATTTAGAAGCGTGTTTATGGGTAAGTAGGACTTGTCGAAAAGTGATAATGTGACATTTAAGATGACATTGCCTAAATACCACATCAGTATTGATCAATAAGCACTGTTTATAAATATCATTACTCATTATAAATATAGAAATAAGTTTTTTTTTTTAATTAATTACTTTTACATAATACCTACCAAGAAAAGAACAAAAAAATTGATCTTGAAAATTCTTGGTTCTAAGTATGCACAATAAATATAAAACGAGGACCAAATTTGCTCCAAACTCATTCAACCTATTCTTCTCCTACACACGACCACACCATTAGAGGCTAACGACAATGTATCTGAGGGTTTTGTTATCGTTGGCACTTCGACGATTGAGAAGGTGACCTAAAATGCTTCTAAAAGCTAAACTTACAATACCTCAAGTAGAAGAGTGCAAGATGAAGAAGTGTAGTTAAGAAAGAGGAATTATTATACTTCTCTTTTACGAACAGTGAACTAATTATAGATAGTTATGATCGAAGAGACATTACGATTTTCTACCTCTTTTGGAATGCGTGTCATGACCAGTGGTGGATCCAAGATATGAGGTCAGTTAAGGTGATCATTGACCGTCGACAGTCAACGACTGCAATAACGAAGAAAAAATTACAGATTAAACTGTATGAAAATTAAACTTAAATCACATGTTAAATTAAATTATCACCAATCTTAAATTTTCAATTTCCAACAACAATTTATTATTTATCACATGTCATTGTCATTTGTTAGAAAATCAAATTCACAGTCCAGGTATATCAAATATTCTCAAAGTTACAAATTCCCAATTTTCATAAATCGTAAACCTTAACATTCAGCAACAAAATCTCCATTATTCTCAAATTCACAAAATCAAAATCCTCACCGTCAACACTATAGGCTCACAAACACATCCATAACTCATAAACATAATTCATAAAATACAAATGATAAATGATAAATAAAAAAATGAACTAAACTCTAAAAGAACAAAGACCTAAGAGACAGAGAGAGACCAGACTCACAACAGTGAAGGCTTGGGAATGTGGTGAGATTACTACACAGAAAAGCCATAAAATTTGTATGTGCTTGATAGGGTAGATTTGCCAAGGAAAATGGAAAACAAATTCCATTTCCCTCCCATTTGGTTGTTTGATAGGGAAACAATTGTCAAGAATTTCTTTTCCATAGTGGACTCTCACTTGCGCCAAATTTCCCTAAAGAAAAGCTTTTCCAGGTGTGCTATTGATTTTTATTTTTTTATTTTTTACATTTTTTGTTTTTTTTGTTTTTGTAATAGAAACAAATTTCATAACCAAGTATAAAAAAAAAATTTCGCTTGCATGAACAATCTTGATGCAAACGAAGACCAAACGAGCACTAAATTTTGATTAAAAAAATAATTTTTTAGGAAACATTTTTTTTTTATTTTTTTATTTTGCTTTTTGGCAATGGAAACAAATTTTATAACCAATTGTGAAAAAAATTATCACTTTAATTGACAATTTTGATGCAAACGAAGGCCAAACGAACACAAAATTAAAAAAAATTTCGGGTGGAAAATTAAACCAATCAAACACACTTAATTAACAATTCCCTACAAAACATTTTCTAGACAATTATTTTCTTTGAAATTCATTTTCTTTCCACCAATTTTCCACCCTTGCAATCAAACGGACCCTAATGGTATGATTCTTGACTGGTAAAATGAATATTTTGTATAGCAAAAAGCAAAAAATAATTAATTAAATATTTTATTAATAATATTAAATACTTTAATTATAAAAGAGGTTATGACATTCCATGTGGGTGGAAAGTATTGCTGGTGATTTCAAGCTTTCAGTCGTGCATTTAGATCCTTCACTTTTTCACAAACCTTGACACTTCATTCCATGGAGATGGCTGCAGCTTCGTNAAAAGTGCAATCAAACACGACAAAAGTAGGAAACGGAATTTCAATTCCAACTTCCATGGAAAATAAAGGGCTATCAAAGAGGCCCTTACTGTTTAACAAGTCTTTGTATGCACAAAGTTACAGCTGAATGTGAAGGTAAAAGGAAAAAGATAATGTAACTATTTTGACCAAAAACATGCATGTAGTAGGTGAACAAGTTGTATCTGCTTAGGGTTTTTGCTATGATATGTTGCTTTCTTTCTTTTTCTTTTTCTTTTTAACATCTTCCCTCGCTTTAGAGGCTCAATCTCCTAGGTGTAGATATAGCCTCTAGTGAGCTCTATATTTTTTTAAAAACTCTTTTTTTTTTCTCCAGTGTATTTTTAACACCACATTCTTCCGATAAAATAATTTTTCGCGTAAACTTAGATTTTTTCTTTATTTTTAATCACGTATTCTTCGAATAATCACTATTACAAAATTTATTTTTCCAAAAAAATAATGGGCCCAAACAAACCCATGGAGAGACAAAAAAGGACTACAAGCTGCCGCAGGAGAGAGAAAGAGTTAATAGTGGTGCTTGATTTTGAACATTGGTGGTAGTTGTGTGATATCATGGTTAATTCATGGATTACAGCCACAAATCTCCACATTCATTGCACAACAAATTAACTATAGCTAGGCCCCATTTGATTTAAATAAAAATTAATTATTTAGAAAATTTTGGTAAAATAAGTAATTGAAAAGTTATGAATCTTATAAAATATTTTGTTAAAATTGATTGTTAAGTTTAAAGCTAAACTTAATGCTTTAACTTAGCAATTAATTTGAACTTAAAATTTGTTTAATCGTTTTAGCTAAAAATGTGTTTGTAACAAGAGCTTAAGCTTTTAGGCAGATTCATATGTATATATAACACCTTTTTCCTTACATATACTAGATTTATATTTTTCTCATCAAAATCTATCGCGTGAACAATTCATTTAAATAGATGGCGACGGGATTTAACTCACGATTTTTGTCTTTATTATACCATTTTGTATTATTTAATCTAAATAAAAATTTAATCATTTTAATGCAGTCACATTTATGGAAATGCGTCAATTATGGGGGTCAACGAGCCAAGAAATTTAGGTTGGACCCGAGCTTTCTACTCGATTTTTTTTTAATTCGTTTTAAATTTAAATTTTTTCTATTAATGAATACATATTATAAATAATAACTAAGAGTGTGGTTGATGCACATTAAAATGAAAAAATGCATTTTTTTTTTTAATGTGATGGTGAATATGTGGTTGAAAAAGAAGGAAAAGTTATTGATGTAATAAAAAATATTATTTTATTAAAGAATGTGTGATTGAAACTAAGTAGAAGAA